GTAACAATAATTAAAACAAAATTCCCCTTCTAAAAAAAAAAAAAGTGTAGATTCACAGATTGCAAAATTCTACAGTAACTTTAAAGAACTACCACCAAATGACTGACAAACTATTCCATAAGATAGAAAAGGAAAGAACACTATCAAACTCTTTTTATGAAGTCCAAAAACAGATAAAGAGAACAAAGAGTACAGATAATTTCACTGATGAACAGATATAAAATTTCTCAATATAGTATGTATAAATCAAATTCAGAATACATAATCACTAACCATGATCAGGCTGGCTTCACTCAGGAGGAACATATTTATCTGTGTATGTAATATGACTTCCTTCAAGTACATGATGATGTACCCTTGCAAGTCTAGTAGATGGTGTGAGGTCAGCTGAAGATTCTCTCATGAGACTGAAACCCCACTTGTTTGGCCACTGTGAGTAGAAAGTGTGACTTCTGTGAAACCTACAGGATTCTGGCCTTAGCCTCTTAGTAGACACCAGAAAGAGATGAGTAGCAACAAAGCGCAGCAATTGGCAGTGTTTTAATCCCCACTGCCCTCATCTGTACAGCTCCAATAATATCAATGGAATCTTCTATTAGAGCTCCTTGGTTGGTTCTTGAGGTTGGTGCCCATCACCCTCAAAAAGTAGAACATCTCAATGGCTACAACCCCAACACCCTAAACAGGATACCACCACCCTTTTGGTGTCATGTACAGTGTACGAACATTACAAGTTTCAGCTACCTGCTAACATTGTTCCACTAATATCCTGAGATTGAGCAGACTCAGTGTACCATCCCCATGACTGATACACTTACTATTGGCCACTTGACCAATGTAGTCAACAAAAACACATTCCATGCAGTAATCTATTCCAATGTATTCTCTAGGCTGAGACAGCCCCAAGAATTTGTAAACAAGAACTCTGAAACTCTGTTCAATTTCTGTTCCCCCTTTTCCTGGCAAGATACAAAGCTCTACAGCAGCCTTGTACACTTCATCCAGTGGGCAGGCCTCACGTTCTCCAGTTTGAGAGGCCTATGTTATTACTGTTGCCTGCATGCAAGGGTTTAAAGACCTCTTCCAGGGTGAAATGGGTAAGGACAGGAAAATGTCCCATTCATGGTTGAGCATAGGCTCATTTTTCATTATGAAAGCAGCAGAATTGTGTGACTCTGGCATGGTCCTTCCTGACCACTAAAGTTAATGATCCCTCCTGTGCACATGCTATATCACTATTATGAAAACAAGGTATAGTGTGGGTTCCTCAATTATGTCTAGCACAGTCACAAGGACAACTAGTACCACTTCATCACCAAGAGGAGAAGCTTCTTATCTTGGGCCCACCTCAATGGGATTACCTTCTTCAAACCCCTTGGATCTACCCATCCTGTCCATGAAACCCTGGAGGGACAACAGGAAATGACTCTAGACACAATCATTCAACTATGGACATTTCCTGATCAATCTAGTCTGGCTGGAGTACTTCCTGGACAAGTAGAAGCTTTATAATGGTGTGTCCTACAACCAATCAGGGTACACCATGGCTACTCAGGGATTTGGGTTATCTTTGGCTAACTGGGTATCATAGGGTCTTTTTGTCTAGTCAAAAATCTAAGTATATTTAGTCTGAACAGGGGGCTTTCTGAGTAAATCTGAGGCTAAGAACATATCATTTCTAAAGAAGCACTGGTTTAGGATCCAAGGAATAGGCTCCAAATCATCCCCATCTTAGTTGGATCAATCGAGCCCGGTCTGAGGGTACTAGTGACTTGGTGTTGTTCCTCAATTGCCAGCATCAGAGAAACTGTATAGAGTAGGTGCTGCTGGAGGGTCAGATCAAAGAATTTGTTAGGTTACAGAAATGGTGGGGAGGCCAGGAAGCAGAAGAAAGTATCTAGCCTTGTCTTTCTTCTGGGTGATTTTAGACCAGCGCCTTCCTTTTCCTGGTAGCACACTCTTGCCAAACCAGGTTCTGTGTGCATTCAGAGACCCAGACTTCCCTTTGTTCCTCAGACTGGATCCCTTAGCTATCATCCTGTGCTAGAGGGACTCAACTCCTAGATGGAGAGCTGGGGTTCCCTTCCTTCCCCATCTCACTCTAGAAAATTTTAGGGTATTTTCATACAAATGATCCTAGGGTTGGGGAACTCTGAAAGAAATGAAATAAACCTTAAGGTATTTTCCTAGCCCCTCAGTCCAGCGACTATGAGCTTGGCATTGAAGGCCAAACTGCTTTCACGCCCTCTAGCAAAATATTATTCCATACACAGGAGTCTTTGGGGCTAAGAAAAAGGAATCACAGTCATACTGGATTTCCACAAAACCTTTATTTGGAGATGCTGAGGGCTTGAAAATGGAGGTTTTACCCAAGTCTGACCATAGGATGAGAAGGGAAACTACAGCTAAATCCCCTGGGGACTTTTTATTAAAGCTGGAGCCAGGTAAGGTGTGTTTGCTCCCTGATTTTCTAAGGTCTTCAGGGAAAAAGCTTATGGGGAGGAAGCTGTAGAGTAGGATGGGAGTAGCCTGCTGGACCCATTGCATACTGAGTTAGTAGATCCAATTACAGTCCAGGAATCTGTTTCACAATGATTTATTCAGAAGTAAACATGCCTAAACTCCACCCAAATGAAAAACACATAACTGTGACTGATCACATAAATGAACTCAAAGACAGAAATCACATGATCTTATTTGTTAGTTTGTTTGTTTTGTTGTTGCTTTTGTTTTCCAAACAGGATTTCTCTGTGTAACAGACCTGGCTGTCCTGGACTCACTATGTAGACCAGGCTAGCCTCAAACTCACAATGATCTTCCTGCCTCTGCTTTCCAGAGTGCTGGAGTTAAAGGTGTGCCACCATGCCCTGCATGATCTTCTTAATGGAAAACCCAGCATCCTTTCATTACAAAAGTACCAAAAAGATCAGGGCTAGAAGTAACTTAACATAATAAAAGATGTAAACAACAAGTCAATATTTTAATGAGAAAAGACTTGAAGAATTTCCTTTAAATTAGAAACAAAACATGGTTGTCCAGTTTTTCTAATCTTGTTCAAAAAGTTGCCTGAAGTCTTAGAGGAGTAAGGGAAGGAAATAAGAGATACAAATAAGAAAGGAAGAAGCAAAAGTATCTTTATTTGCAGACTGTGTAGCTTTCTATTAAAAAAAGCAAATCCTAAAGACTCCACCAGAAAACTCTTAAATCTGATAAGCACTTAAAAAAAAGTGGCAGAATATGAAATTATCATATATAAACCAATACTGTTCATATATGCCGGTAATAAACCTGCTAAGAAATCAGGGAGAAAAATCCATTCACAATCTTGGATTGAACCTAATCAAAGTAGTAAAACAGGGCTACAGTCACTCAGAAATAAAGTCAACAATGATAAATGGGACACTATCAAATTAAAAGAAACAAATGAGTAAAACAAAAGCCTGCAGAATGGGAGAAAGCATCTGCAGGTCATTTACCTGATAAAAGATTAATATTTAGAACATACAAGCAACTCAAAATACTACAGCATAATAAAGAAAACTACTCAACTAATAAAAAGGCTAATAGATAGTTCTCAAAAGATGAAATAAAAAAAAACAATACAAAGTTTTTCAAATGTTCAACCTTACTAACCATCAGAGAAATATAAGTCAAAACTACACTGAGATCCCATCTTACTCATCACAACAGCAGTAATTATGAAAACAAGTGACAGGCTAGAAAGATGGCTGCACAGCTAAGAACACTTGCTGCTCTTCCAGAGGAACTGAGTTTGGTTCCTATCTCTCATGTCAGAAGGCTCACAACAATCTCTATGTCCAGTTACTCGTTGCCTCTGGTCTTTGAGAACATCTGCACTCATGTGATCATACCCTCACGTAGACACATACACCTACACATAAGAAAGAACAATAAAAAATAAATCTAAAAAAAAAAAAAACAAGTAAAAACAAATACTGGTGAATAGATGGATAAAACTTACAGCCTGCAAATTAATCCAAAGAGTATAGAAGTCAGTATGGCTAATTCTCAAAATAAAATTTGCTCTATCTTGTGACTCAGTCACATCACATCACTCTTGCATATATATTCACCAGAAAAATATTTACCAAAACAAAAACAAAAGCAAAAATTAAAAAAAAAATCAACATATCCTAGAGATACTTGTAGATCAAGGATAACTGCAGCACTATTCACAATAACTGAGTCACACACCCAACCTAGGTGTCCAATAACAGTGGAGCAAACAAATGTGGTATGTATACACAGTGGAATTGTTTCTAGCTATAACGAACAAAATTATGTCATTAAAAAAATTGGATATCAAAGTTAATCGTCTTGAGTAAATTCATCCAGTCTCAGAAAAACAAAATTGTATGTTTCCCCCTCATTTGTAGTTCCTAAAATTTATATGGATAAAATAATGTATTTTAAAATAATGTAAATCTGCCTGTCTAGGGAACAAAAAAAGACTAACAAGAGAGAGGAAGGGAATGAAAATGGACGTTAGGTGGCATGGAAGCAGGGAATGTGCTGAACATACAATATAAACTTGTATGAAAACTTAAAAATATTAAAATAAAAATTGGCGCAACAGCTTTTTAGCAGACTTATTTTTACAGAACATTTACTTACTTCAATTTAACTAAGTGTTAAATTTGATTAGTTTAACTGATTTGATATATGTGTAATTTTAAATTTAAATCCTATTTAAGAATAGGTCAGGATTTGCAATTTATAAAATAATAAGCACTTAAAAATAAAATATTACTGAGCTGTAGACAAACTTCATTTTCCATTTGATACCATTATGCCTTTCAAAAATTATAATATACTACATATCATATAATAAAATGTAATAAAAAATATTTTAATTATTTTATCTAAAACATTGTCAAATTAAAAGTGATCACAAATTTACATTCAATATATAGTTCTGTTAGAACAGCTTTGTTAAATGGGGTAGGAGGTTTTAACTTTAAAATGCAAAAGTCAATTACCTTCAAATAAACTGAGGTCTCTTCGTAGCCGTGGTCCATAAAGCCCTTCTAAAATACTCTCAAAACCTGTGTTTTCAAAGAGAGAAAAGTGTATTAGCTCTGAGAAAAGCTTTATTTTTTAATGATCACAACCTCTAAATTTTTGTCAATCAGCAAATAATTTACAATGGTATAACTGTTATGTTTACCCAGTTTAAAGTGAACTAGGTAATATACTCATTACATAGTAACTGTCAAATTAAGATTGCAAAGTATTTAGAATCATCAAATGCATATTTTAACCTAGGCTAAATTACCATCAAGCATGACCTAATATTTGAGTTAAGGAAGCTGGTGAGAATGTAGAAAGAGGGGAATAGTCACTCACTGTTGGTGGGACTGCAATTTTATGTAACCACTATGGAAATCAGTGTGATAAATCTTCAAAGTGCAGAAAGTAAATCTCCTATATTACCCAGCTTTAACATTCTGTAATATGCGTTCAAAGGACTTGTCATCATAGTCCATATAAAGTTGCTTAGCCATGGTCAATGGTGCTCTATTCACAATAGCAAAAAAAAAAAAAAAAAAAAAAAAAGGAAAAAGAAAAATGGAAACAGCCTTACTGTCATACACTGACAAATGGAAATGAAAATATGGTATGAATACACTATGAAATACTAGTCAACTGAAAAGAAAAATTAAATCATGAAATTTGTAGGTAGCTTGATTATGGAGCTAGACCACATTATACCAAATGAAGTGACTCAGACCCAGAAGAACAAATGCTGAATGTTCTTTTTTTTTCCTTTTCTTTTTTAAATTCTAGCTTAAAGATATGAGAATCCATACTGCTGAAACCAAGAAAGTAAAATGGAACCAAGTGCAAGGTGATGAGGGTAAAAAGAACTACAAACAAGGGTACAGAAGGAAACAGATACTATAAAAGGAAAAATAGAAAAAATAGGGAGGGGAGACTTTATCTGGGAAAGAGGGTGGGAAGGGAAACTCTGTTGGACAGAAAATGAACGACCAAGAACACCAAAGATGACTAGAAGAGATAGAAATATTATTTTATGCTTACTTACAAATATATAATGTGTATGTGTATAATATACATAAACAATTTATCACTCGGGGTGATAATAATCCCTGAAGAGCCATAGACTAACAAAATTCTTCGTTCCGAGCAAGGGAACCCTCATTTTGAACTGTTAATCAGGGGAATCCAAGAGAGTCCTAAGGCTTGTGGTTGCCCTCCAGGTAAAGCACTATAGCTGACGACACCACCTACTTTCAACAAAAAAATTAAGCTTGAACTGCTCTGAATGCCTTCTCCCTGATCAACTCTTATAATATCAGAAGATAGTATGCAAACCGCCAAGGGAGAGGAACAGTCAGTAGTTCTACCCAGATGAAAGGCCTACAAATCACAATACTGAATGGATCAGCATATCCACAGTGCACAATAGCAGCACTTATGTGCTGTTATTGCTGGGGTAACCAACAGTTATCTAATTGAACTTAAATTTCATTTAACAGGAAGTAATTCATGCTTAGTACTATAAATCTTGCCAAATCCCTTTTGATGGGGGGGGTGTCATAAAAAGGAGGAGAACCTTCTACTGATAGTTCCCTAAGGCAATATAATTTCTAACTGTATTCTAAATACTTGTCTTATTCCCACAAAACCCATGGCATCTCTCATCAAAGAAGCTTCTTTTTGCAATAGATGGAGACTATTACAGAGATTCACAATTAGTCAAAATGCAGATAACAACTGACTGTGTGGGTTGCCCAACTCTGACAGATCTCCAGCACAACATCAATACCTATAGCTCAGGGGAAATGGTAGAAGAGGAAGCAGGAAGATTTTAGGAGCTAGAAGACAACAACCTCTGCTGTCAGATAGTATCTTCTATATGCCTTATAGCTGGATCTCCTGGAGGCATTTCCTCAACTGAGGCTTCTTCCTCTCTACTGACTCTAGCTTGTGTCAATTTGACACACAAAACCAAGCACCCAGAACACCATCTCTTGTTACCACACAAAACATCCAGTACTGGGACTGGGTTATATCCAATTGAGTTGTTGGCCAAAGGCATTTCATGGAAATCCCCCAAACCATCCAGGTTGTGGGCAAAAGAATAGGTTGATCTCCACAAAATGACAGCAAGGCTCCATTGTTGAAGACAACACCCATACAACTCACTAAACATGGACAGGTCAAGCTGGTGCCTACATAGAACTTTCACCCCTACATTCTAGTGTCTTTGGTATGGGAGGGTTCTCTGCAGTCTACCAAAAGAGAAACATAAACAACAACCCAGCCAGAAAATCTTTGATCTACAATATGTCCTGCCTATAGAATATGCTAAGGTTATAGTGACACAAAGCTTGTGGGAATAACTAACCAATGTCCAATTTGACTTAAGATCCACTCCACAAGATGGAACTCACACCTGACACAGCTTGATTGACCAGGAACCAGAGAATAGATAGCCCTGAGACTTATATTAAAGCCAAATATTACTGGTCTTTAAAAAAAAAAGTAGCAATAATGATGACTCCTAATGATATTTTGTTATACTCCCAGACCAGACATGTCCAGCCATCTCAGAGAACCTTCCTCCTGAAGCAAATGGGAACAAATGCAGAGACTCACAGACAGATACTACAAGAGTGCGAGGGAAAAATATCTTGGAACATGCAGCTCTACATGGGATGTTCCCATAAAATTTCTATGCCCAGAGCTCAGGGAACACTGTGGAAGAGAAGGCTGAAAGAATGTAAGAGCCAGAGGGGATGGAAGAGACCAGGAAAACAAGGCCCTCTAAATCAACTCAGTTAAGGTCAAATAAACTCACAAGAGACAGAAGCAGTAAGCATAGGTGTGAAATGGGTCTGCATCAGGTCCTCTGCATATATAGTACAGCTTTCAGTTTACTATCTTTATTTTTAATAAAAGGTAGAGATATAAAAAAAAAAATCAATCTAGCATACTTCCTGCCCATTTTCCAATATTGCAAATATTCTGTTAATATATGCTCCAAGATCAGTGAGATGGCTCAGAGGTCAAACACACTTGCTCTTAAGCCTGAACTACCAAGTTGTTATCCTGGAGCCCACATGGTGGAAGGAAAGAATAAAATCCCGCTAGTTGTCTCTGTCCTTCATATGTACAGACCATGGCACACCCACATGCACAAGCACATGAATACACAATAAGCAAATGTTAAAAATAATTTTAAGATGTGTATGTGTGGGTGTGTGTTCTAATTTACTGGGTGTTTTCTACAGAAAATAATCCAAACGTTTCTTCCTCGTGGTCACAGAAGGAAGTTTATCATCTCTGATTAGTTAGCTTGACTGGTTTTCTATATATTTTGTTCAGTTCTTTTCAAATTTTGCTCTTTAATAGTGCTTCTCTTTGCAAATATTTAGTATTATCATTTATTCCTCTACGTATGGAATTATGTTATAAGACTTAAGAGCTACTTGTGGCTCCTTACCATGTAAAGGAGATCAATGCCATGACTACTGGATGCCTCTAAATGATGGAAATGGAGAAAATGAACATACTCTATACCACAAAATTATACCCATTTCAGACTGCGGAACAATATAAGATATAAGATACACTATGTTAAGCCACTCAACCTCTGATCTTTGTTATAATAGCAAAAGGAAACTAATGCGTAATTCAGACTAAATACTATGGCTTGGGATTCCTTAAATGGCACAAGGTACAAATCTGCTGGAGGGCCAAACCAGCTTCCATTTGTTTCATAAATGCCTTGCTGGGTGCAAGTGTAAGAATTTTCTTCTATGCAGAAATATATAAGAGGAATTGGGTGGCTCTGGATATGAAATTGGTCAATTTAAATTTTAAGTCCTGTTGTTATTAAATGATCATATAAAGCTGATCTAAAACATTTATCAAACATAATTACACAATTGTCATTTAATTTGAAGTTCCTTATTACTGAAGTGCAGTATATTTTCTTATATTCTATATTCAGACTTTCCCCCTGACACTTCAGACTTTGGGCCTTTTAAGAATGTCAAAATAGTTCTATATATACTAAGTGATAATTACCAATTTCACAAGCACAAAAAAAGCACTCTTCATACATGTTTTGTACTTGCATGCTATAATCAAACTTTGTCTTGTTTTATGATTTTTCTTTTTTGTACACAATGAAATTTGTGAATATTAAATATCATTTTACGTGCCTGTGTGAATTTGGTTTTTATATGTAGCTCTTTAGCCCATGACAATTCATTTTAAATGATCAGTGTAATAGAGAAAAGACATTTATTACCCATGAAATTCCAAAGTGTTAAAGCATCTATGTTTGTATGTAAATTAGTGACTTTCTAAATATAAAGTTTACTACTCTAAATTTACTTGTTTTCTGTCATTGTAGATTTGCCCTTTCTATATATCTCATGTGAACAGAATGACAGCTTCTGTGTTCTTTGGAGTCTAGCTTCTATTCTTGAATATATAGTTTTGTAGCATGCTGTTAAATCTTTTTTGCTAAATAGCATTCCACTGTACAGACACACCACATTTGCGTATCAATTTGTTAGCTACCAGAATTGAATGTTTTCCAACTTTGGGGCTTTAATGAATGGTGTGGATATGAACATTGTGACCAAATGATAGTATGGAGTATATTTTCATTTTTACCAAATAGTTACACAGCAAGAGAACCAGTGAAATTTTGGTAATCCTACCTTTAACATTTTGAGAAACTGCAAATTCTCTACCAAAGTACAGATAACACTTTGCATTCAGATCAATTCTTCAAGATTTTTGTATTTTATTAAAATCACTCAAAGGTGCCAAAGGTTACTTTATTTCTCTAGTGACTAATGATGTCCAGTTTATTTTCCTATTCATACACATAATTTGTGTATGTTCTCTGATGAAATGCATAATCAAATTTTTTGACCATTTTTTACTTTTCTATGAATTTGTAAAGATATCTTTGGATAAAAGTTCATCACAAACATATATATGTGAATAATTTTTCAAGTTTGTGGACTTAATTTTCAGGCATAAGCATTTATGTTATTAA